GGTATTTTGAGATATTTACAGTGTTAGCCAGTAAAAGAAGAGAAATGACAGAAAACACAGGGGATTTTGGGATTAGTTTTAAATTTTCTCACTTTTGACCCTTATTTACAAACGGAAAAATTGGAGAAAATTGAATGTAAGGACTAAAAGTTATGACAAATTGAAAATATAGGAATTTCAAAAAGTATTTTTAAAAAAGGTAAGGACCAACTAATTATATTTTGATAAATACAGAGACTTAATAGTAATTTTTCCTTTCTAAATTTTACATATGCGATCAACAACTGGTGACAGCTAATCATACAAAAAATAAAAAATAAAAATAAAATAAAAAATAGCATCTCTTTAGAATGTCCTGCCGTTGTACTGGCAAGGACTTCCATAAGATGATGATGATGTACTGATGCTTACTGTTGGTGATGGGCCTGATGGTGACTCACAGATCGTTCATGTCTTTAATTACATGGATAGCATGCAAGTTGATACAACTTAAAGTTACAAGACGAGTGATGAGCGTCTGTCTTGCAAGTAGGCCATGCCTGAATTGCGTTGCAGCAAGAGAAAAATAAAAGGGTCCGAAGAAAGCTTTCTTAAATCTTCTTGTTTTTTGGCAAATGGAAATGGCAGGCAAAATCATGTGAATCCCTCGTGAATTATTTCCCTAAGGACCCCATGTTGCACTTGTTGCAATAAAGCTTTTTGCCTATATATATGCCTTCACCAAAGATAAACAGCCAGCCAGGTTTTCCTCTACTTCTTGATCTTTACTTTCAACTATCAGAAGAGAATTCAATTCAGTCCAACACTTTATAAAAAGATTCAAAATGGGTATTCGCTTGCCAAGAATTGTTAATACGAAGCAAATTCCAAGACGGGTTCTTTTGTCACAGGAAAGTGGAGATGTCCCTAAAGGCTATTTTGCTGTTTATGTTGGAGAAAATCACAAGAGATATGCAGTTCCAATATCATACTTAAAATATCCTTCATTTCAAAAATTGCTAAGTCAAGCAGAGGAAGAGTTTGGGTTTCATCATCCTATGGGTGGCCTCACGATTCCATGTAGTGAAGAAGTATTCAATCATCTCATTTTCAGCTTGTAAAACTTTAACGATACAGTTATTAGGAGTATGTTAACTGTTTAACAAACTAATACATGTACCAATTTTGGATTAACAAAAGGAAAATATACATAAATTTGTTTATTGCATTCTTTTTATTTGTATCTGGAAATTCTACTTTTTTTCCTGGTGCCCATAAAATGAATTAATTTGCATTCCTCCATCACTGCAATCCTAGCTTTATAAAAGTCTGACTTGAGATGATATGAATATCTATTCAGACCAGAATTTGCAGCTACCATATAATGGAAAACAAAATGAAGTGGTGGGTAGAGGATGAATGTATTGTGCTAGAGAATAGTTATACAGTTTTTTCAATTTCCATTTTATTTATGATCAGTGAAAACTGAAACCTAGTAATGACTCTTAAAGAGCTTAATCTTTTAGTACTTAGCCTATTTATGAGGTAAAATTCATTCATCTTAAAAGTTATTTATTGAATTAAAGAAACAAATTAAAAGGAAAAAAAAAATTGCAGATGTTAATCTTATCGATCAGCATTGATGCTGTTAAGTATTAATAATGAAATTAGTTGAGTATAATTAGTTAATTTGAGTAAGAGTACTGTTAATTAAGAAGGGTTCCTTGTCTTAATTTCAATAATTAAGAGTACTGAAAGCATATTACATAATATGGTATGCTAAGTTGGGTAGTGAAGTGGTGATGGTAGGGAATGACTCATGTGAACTTTATGCTTGTCCAACAAATTCATCCATTAAATTGTTGAAAGGTCAACATCAGGTATTTTATGAGTTCACATCTTTAGTCTTTCCTTCCAGCTTCAACACAACTTACAGGAAAGTGCCTAGTACTTTCTGGTGAGGTTCAAAAGATTCAGAAACCAATAGTACCATTTCATAAGTGCAAGAAACATTATCATGTCAAATAATGAGTGTTTTTTCATCATTTTTGTGTCTTGTAGGGACCATACACATGGTTTTGCTAAATGGTAGTGTTCAATGAGTGATCACTTGATCATGAAATTCCAAGAACATATGTAGTGGCTGAAAGAATTAGTTCTGCAGAATTCGATCCATATGTTAGTTCACTATAAGCTGATATTTCATTTGACTTGACTGTCATATTGATTTGTAATCTATCTTGACTTCCTAATCAGTTGGGGAGCAAAACCATGTGATCTGTTGTGAAATATGTCCTAATGGGACCATATTGCACATATCATTCAATCCAGTTCAAAGTATTGTCAGTATGGTTTAAATCTTAGTTATTCGAAGTTAATTTGAATCCGGATCTCTACCTTTGGTGCCATTTCTTTCCTTTTCTTTATGAATTCTGCCATATCATGTTATGCTTATATTTGACTTGACTGTCATTATTGATTTGTAATCTTATCTTGACTTCCTAATCAGTTGGGGGAGCAAAACCATAGATGATTTCTGTTGTGAAATTATGTCCCTATGGCGAACCATATTGCACATATCATTTCATCCAGTTCAAAGTATTGTCAGTATGGGTGTGTGTAAATCTTAGTTATTCGAAAGTAATATTTTGAATTTCGGATCTCTACCTTTGGTGCCATTTTCTTTATCCTTTCTTTTATGAATTCTGCCATATCATGTTAATGCTTATATATATATTATATATATATATATATATTATATGTAACAAGTAAACTGCCAAGCTGCTCTTGTAGTTAATCTGTAGGATAGACTGTTAATGCAAGCTTATTAAAAAAATTATATATATGTAACAAGTAACTGCCAAGCTGCTCTGTAGTTAATCTGTAGGATAGACTGTTATGCAAGCTTATAAAAAATGTCGCTAGTCAATTACGTCATCTGCAGCTTCAATATTTTAAGTATCTTAAGATCAAAAATGTAAAACAAATTCATTCTTCATAGGATATTTAAGGTTTTGGTATGGCTTGTTCTATACCGTACATCTATTAGATTCATTTGATTTTAGGAAATATTTTTCATATGCAGAACCCAAGGATGGTTAAGCATATCATTGAAACTAGACATAGCAGGTCAAATTGTTGTTCAGGAAGCTGTCACTATCTAAAGTTCCTTACACAAAGGGTACAGTATTCATTTGAACTTACATGGCTTGTTGGCAAGTTGATGCATAGGATTATCAGAAAATTGAATATTTTCCCAAGATACATAACATAAGACGCTCTTTTATCATCAAACAGTGACACATGCTGTACTCCACTAGTAATTTTATCTTGCCTGACAAAAAATTTGAAGGACAGATATCAGGTAATCTATGTAATTGTCTTTCCAGCTGTAAAACAAGACCCTATCTTTTTTAAAGTAGATCTTGTTATTTTTCATAATTTGAGAAACATTGTCATATGAACTGATTATTATTATTATTATTATTTTTTGTCTCTGTTAGTGAAAAGAAGCAGAGCCAATGTTAGTAGTACACTTGATACTGAACTTAAACTAACATGAAACATATTGATGTCTACTTGATTGAAGAAAATGCACTTTGATCCACATATTAATTAGCCATTTATTGTTTTATCATTAATTTCAATGGTCTATAGGATATATACAACTCAGTAGTGGGTCATGATACAATAATGCTTTCATCTTTCTTTATCCTTCTAATCAATTGGGAGGCAAAGCAATGTGATTGCTTTTGAAATTTGTCCTTTGGGGGGCACAATATTGCAATTGCATGGCGCTCATCCTATTGAGGCTAAGATCAAGAAAGTTCTTGCCATGTATATATATGTGTGTGAGTTTAAAAAGGGCAGCAAGCTTTAGCCAAAGTTCTTTCTTTGTTTTAAAGAGTTTTAAGAATTCATTCAATCAAACACCTTTAAAAGAATTTGAAAATGGGTATTCGGTTGCCTAGCATAATTTATACCAAGAAAATTGCAAGATGGATTTTTTTGTCACAAGAAACCACTGATGTGCCTAAAGGCCATTTTGCTGTATATGTTGGAGAAACTCAAAAGAAGAGATTTACTATTCCAATTTCATACCTGAAGAATCCTTCCTTCCAGAATTTGTTGAGTCAAGTTGAAGAAGAGTTTGGATTTGATCATCCTATGGGAGGTCTCACAATACCATGTAGTGAGCAAGTTTTCACTCATCTCATTTTCAGTCTGTAGAGGCCTTTTTAGATATATGACTTTACTATAAGACACTAACCTATGTAACAATTTTGTTTTGAGAAATGAAAGTATATGTAACAACTTTGTATTGAGAAATGAAAGTAAATGTATTAATTTCATTATTTTTCATTGAATATCATATTATACAAAGTTAGTTTAAAGCAAAATATCTTCATTTAATTTTGATCCCATTTCTGTGCCATTTCTTTTCCTCCCTATGAATTCTGTTTGGATGGTGGCTCTGTACAAGTTGCAATTGAAAAGATGCACTTTACTGTTTATCCTTAAGCTGCTATGGATAATTAACAAATTATACTGTCAATGGATTAGCACAAATGTTCCTGCTACATATTAATCAGGTTAGTACCCAAAATATTTATCTTCGATAGATATTGCAGTCACTCAAAATTCAAAAGTTCCATTAATTGTTCAACCTGATATAAAATGCAGCATTCATAAATTAATTTGTTCTTGAGACTGAGTGATATTTTTCTAAATATAAGAAGTGTAATATCTTCTAAGTACAGCAAAATTATTTATGTTTGTTACTGTGTAGATTTTTTAATTTACAGTTTCATTTTCGTTTTTTTTGCAGTAATAATCATACTTGGAGAAGATATCTGTAGTGTTATTTTATATAACTTCAGTACCCACCATAAGGCCCTATCACACTGAAATATAATGTCGCTCCTGTAAAGAGTAAAAAAATGGTGATTTTTACAAATCTACTCAATTTCGAGTGTTGGAGCTGAGGTGGTGGGTCATTATGTTTCAAAGAAATGAAAATTGGAAAATAGCCTTTTAGTTCTATTGATAATTAGGTAGAAGACCAAACCATGTGATCCCTTATTAATTAGCATAAAAAAATGCATAGAGAATTCGACTGTATACCCTTTAATATTTGTTATATATAGTCTAACATTTACATTGAAAGGCATCACCAAGTTCTTGCAATATCCTTAGACATCAAAAGTTCTTTTGCTCTATAAGTCTTTATTAATCTTTCTTCTTGTTCATCCACACCGAGTTATGGGTTTCCGTTTGCCTGCTATTATTCGTGCTAAGCAAATTCTTCAAAGGTCGCCTTCTACAAGAAGCCAAACAAGTTCAGGAGTCATGGACGTGCCAAAAGGCTACCTTGCAGTCTATGTTGGAAAAAACCAAATGAAGAGATTTATAATTCCAGTATCATTCTTGAATCAACCTTCATTTCAAGAATTACTAAGCCAAGCTGAAGAAAAATTCGGATATGATCATCCAATGGGTGGTCTCACTATTCCCTGTACCAAGAGTAGATTTATTGATGTCATTTCTTGCTTAAACCAATCATAAATCATGATAGAGATGGTCGACACAATTTTGTAAAGTACAGAGATAGCTTAATCATTAATCAATTAAGTTTTTGTTTCTTCATATTCTGCAGTTCTCTTCTTGATTGTGTTCTGCAATTTTCTTTTCCATGACTTTCTGTTGTAGGAAAAATTTTCCTACACTTTTCTAAAAGGCAAAGAATTTTTTTGTTTAGCAAAATTTTAGTGACTCCATTCCGTTTCTGCTTGAATCAGCAGAATCTGCAACTTATATAACTCAAGTTTAAGAGTAATTTATGTTTGATTAGTAGCTTCGGTCTTACAATTAATTACCTGAAAGGTCTTCCTCAGGTATTTCATGTGTGAAAATCTTTAGTCTTTCTTTCCAGATTCAACGCAACTTAGAGAAGTGCCTAGTACTTTATGGTACCATTTTGTACTTTTCTTATATGAATTCTGCTAATTTATGTTTGATTTACTTGAACCCACTAACTTATGTAGCAATTTTTAATTGAAAAATTAAGTATAATATAAATTTCATTCTTTGTATTTACTCATCTTAGTTTTGCAAAGTTAACTTGAACCAAAATCCCTTCACTTGGTACCATTTTTGTACTTCTGTTTACGAATTCTGCTATTTATGGTGTGCTCATAAATATAAAACAAGTAATTGCCAGGCTGCTCTATAGTTAATCTGCAGATGGACAGTTATGGTAGCTTCTAAAATACTACTGCATTAACTCATCTGTTACTGCAATATTTTCTACATCTCACAAACCAAAAAAATTTTTTTTACTTGTTCTGACTTCCAAAAAAACTGAAATATGTTAAAAAGAAATAAATAAATAAATCCATTCATCATGGGATATTTAACCTTTGAATTACTAGAAGTTTAAGGATTTGTTATGATTTGTTCTATAAATGTAATGGAATCATTTTATTTTAGGTAATATTTTTCAATGCAGAACCCAAAAATGGTTAAGCATATCATTAATACTAGACATTGCAGGTTATACTTGTTGTTCAAGATGCTGTGTCATCCTCTTTTTATGATTAAAGTTCCTTACACAAAAAGTACAGATATGCAAGTGGTGATGCAGATAAAAGTAGGAAAAATGCACTTTTGAACTTGACATAGCTTGTTGGCAAGTTGGTGCATGGGATTTTCCCAAGATATATAACAAAAGAGATTCTCATTTTTGTTATAGCTGAATTCCACTAGTAATTTTATCCTTTTTTCTTTTTCTTGCCTAACAGAAAAAAGAAAGGACGGGTACAGGTAATCTTTGTTTTAGTCTTTCCAGCTGTAACACAACAGCCTAACTTTTCTAAAATGGATCTAACTTCCTTTTTCATAATTTGAGAAACATTGTCATATGAAGTAATGACTTGTTTATTTCTTGTGTCTGTTATATTAGAGACAAGATGGAGAGACAATGTTACTACACTCTGATACTGAGCTTTCACTAACAAGAATCATTTTGATGTCTTGTTGCTTGAAGAAAATGCAGCTTAATCCCCATATTATATTATCATTAATTTGAATGGTCCGCAGGAAATATATGACTTAGAAGTGGGTCATGATATGATATGATTAATGCTTTCATCTCTCTTAATCTTTCTTGTCAAATGGGAGGCAAAGCAATGTGATCTCTTTTGAAATTTGTCTTTAGGCCCTATCACCCTGCAAAATAATGTCTCTCCTGTAAGGAGGGAGGAAAATAGAGAGCAAATACTATAATCAACTATATTTCAAGCGTTGGGGCTGTGGTGGTGGGTCTTGATGTTTCAGAAATGAAAATTGGTAAGTGGCCTTTTAATTCTACTGATAATTAGGTAGAAGACCAAACCATGTGATCCCTCATTAGCATAAAAAATAATGCATAGAGAATTTCCACTGTATACCCTTTAATGTTTGTTATATATAGCCTAACATTTAGATTGAAAAGGCATCACCAAGTTCTTGCAATATTCTTAAGCATCAAAAGTTCTTTTGCTCTTTAAGTCTTTATTAATCTTTCTCTTGTTCATCTACATCAAAATTATGGGTTTCCGTTTGCCTGCTATTATTCGCCCAAAGCAAATTCTTCAAAGATCGCCTTCTACAGGAAGCCAAACAAGTTCTGGAGCCATAGATGTGCCAAAGGGCTACCTTGCAGTCTATGTTGGAGAAAACCAAATGAAGAGATTTGTAATTCCAGTATCATTCTTGAATCAACCTTCATTTCAAGAATTACTAACCCAAGCTGAAGAAGAATTCGGATATGATCATCCAATGGGTGGTCTCACTATTCCCTGTAGCCAAAGTAGATTTATCGATGTCATTTCTTGCTTAAACCATTTATAAATCATGATAGAGATGGTTAACACAATTTTGTAAAGTACAGAGATAGCATAATCATTAATCAATGAAATTTTTGTTTCTTCATATTCTCTAGTTCCCTCTAGTATTCTTCAATTTTCTTTTCCATGATTTTCTGTTGTAGGAAAAATCTTTCCTTCATACACTTTTCTGAAAAGGGAAACCATTTCTTGCTTAAACCATTATAGATCATGATAGAGATGGTTAATACAATTTTGTAAAGTACAGAGATACCATAATCATTAATCAATGAAATTTTTGTTTCTTCATATTTTGCAGTTCTCTTCTAGTATTCTTCAATTTTCTTTTCCATGATTTTCTGTCGTAGGAAAAATCTTTCCTTCATGCACTTTTCTGAAAAGGGAAACAAACTTTTATCATTCTTAGCAAAATATCATTGATTCCAGTCCTGTTCTGCTTGAAATGGGACCAAGTTTAGACTAAAAGCCAAGTTTAAGAGCAACTTATGTTTGATTCCACCTGATAGATGGATCTGCAGGGGACACTTTCGCTAATCTTTTCATTTGAACTTCAAATTTAGGTTGCTTTTTTAGCTTCAACTTTACTTTGACCGTCCAACAACATAATTTGCCAACAGCTAATGCTGTCCTTATCAGAAGGAAAATATAGAATGAAATATTATATATATAATAATAAAAATGATGCTGAAATTCATGAGTACGAGTTAAAAACTGATTCAGACACAAATAGGAATGAATTGATTATTAGTATGATTATATTTAACCCTTTGGAACAGAAACCTCCAACACTTCTTTTTCTTGATTGCATAATTAATCTATTTAAGGCAAACCCAATGGACATCAACTGAAACTAGTTCCATTCGACACTTTTTTTCCTGTTTGAAAGCTTGCTGTACAAAAAGGAAAAGGGAAAAGAAAACAGCAATTCTCAAACCATTTTTCGTCATGTTATTTATTCTTATTCTTAAAAAAATTCAATACTTCTCACAATTTGTTTTCATAAAATTTTCCTGTTTGAATGCCCTGTTGAACAGAAATGAAAAGAGACAAGATAATAACAGAAATTGCAAGTATATGGTACTCATTTTCATTGTAATTAAAAAGAAAGTATCGACATTGACTTGTCTAGTTCTACCATACAAAGTTGTTTTTATGATTAGACTAATTTGAATTCTCTCATGATCTAGTCAAGCTAGAAGTGACATCAATAAAAGTATCTTGCTAGAAGTGACATCAATAAAAGTATCTTCTCTACAGGGAATTGTCAAGCCGCCCATTGGATGATCAAAACCATATTCCTCTTCTGCTTTACTTAGCAAATCTTGAAATGAAGGCTCATTTAGATACGATATTGGAACCAAATATCGCTTCTTCTCTGTCTCTCCAATGTAAACTGCTAAGAAACCTTTCGGCACATCCGGAGAGCTTGAGGATGCATTATTTGTAGACCGGCGCAGAATTTGTTTAGCAAGAACAGAAGATAGATATCTAGCCACTGGTAGGAAAAAATCAAGAAAAAAAGGATATTGTTCTATGCAAGTGAATATTGAATTGTATTGCTAGTGAATATGTTGATGTATGTTTGCTGTGACTTGTGGCTTCAACATATAGATATATATAGATGAATAACATATAGAGGGAGTGGCCTAAAGTCATTCTCTCTTATTGCTTAGGACATAGCTCACAAAGGGTCATGTGGTCTTGCCTTCTAATTAATTACTAGCATTTATCAGCCAAGCGTATTCATAACTTTCATACTGTGTCTACCTGTTAGAATGCTAGAATACCCCACAACCACATATATAAGCAAATTGCACTATAGCAAAAGATTTGAAATGGGTTCTTCATGCCAGCATATACATGCCGGATTGACCCTTTGATTAACAGCACAATTGAGACTATTGGTCGAGTGAAATATATATTAAGAACAGCTGGTTCAATCCATTAATTGCTTATTTAAATGGTCCCTCATGGTCATTGGCCATGATGTCCATCAATACACACAATATGTTGGAACAAACTAAGAAATAACAGAGAAAAAAAAGGAATATTGCAGTGTTATGTTTTACTAACTGCAAATGTGCTTAAATACAACAAAAAAGGATAACAGAAATTCCTATATTTCAGCTCAAAACATTCCTATATTTCAGCTCAAAACATGGAACATGTCTCCATGTTTAACAACTCAGCTAGAAAACAAAAAAGGAAATAATGACTGAAATGCAACATGTCAAATCATAACAGAAAAACAAAAAATGCAGCAACTGATCTTTAGAAGTGCAGCAGCTAAGTCAACTTCTTAACAAAAACAAAAAATGCAGCAACTGATCTTTAGAAGTGCAGCAGCTAAGTCAACTTCTTAACACTCCTCCTTGGCTTTGATGCTGCAAACTCCAAGTTTTTCCCTTAGAAACTCAAATTTGCTTTTTTCCAAAGATTTTGTAAAGATGTCTGCAACATTGTCATCAGTTTTGCAATATTTCAGAACAACAGAACCTTCTTTCTGCACATCTCTAAGGAAAAACAATTTGATATTAAAGTGTTTTGTTTTTCCATGGAAAACAGGATTGTTTGAGATAGCTATTGCTGCTTGATTATCCACAAACACATCTGTGCCTTCATTTGCCTTCATTTTGCTTTTCAGGATTCAGATCAAATAACCACCTTTCTAAAAGGCCTTAAAGCTTGATTTGCCCCAGCAGCTGTAGCTGCCAATTAAACTCTGCCTTCTGCAGTTGATTGTGCCAACAACTTTCTTGTTTTTTACAACACAAGAGAACTTCCTGACCCCAGATTAAAACAAATAAACCTTGAAGTACTCTTTTCATATCATCAAGAACCCACCATGCATCACTATTCAGGTGAATAGCCTGCAGAACATGAAACTAGACTAGCCACCGAACTTGATTCCATTGCCTTTCAATGTTCCTTTCCAACATATCTTAGAACTCTTTTAGCAGCAAGAAAAATGATGTTTTCAGTAGCCACAATTCATTAAATCGACGAGATAGCAGGACTCACAGATGAATAAGATGTTCAGGTCTTGTGGCAGTTAAATACATCAAACCAACCACTAAAACTTTTCTGTAAGGTTTCATCACCTTTTCGCTACATCTTCCTTTGCTGAGCTTTACATTTTTACACCATAGGGAGTTGGTAGCCAATCTTGCACTCATTCATTCTGAAATTTCTTCAGAATTTCTTTAGCATATTTGGTTGGGCAAAGGAACACTCCTTTTCTCCGTTTGTTAACCTCCATTCCAAGGAAAATATGCCATTCTCCCCAAGTCAGTTCATCTCAAAGGTCTTGCTTGGCATATCTTTCTTGAATTTATTCACAAGTCCAAATTGGCTTCCCTATGTAAAACCAAGTAAGTATCCACATACAGGGAAACAAACAACAAAAATTGAATTTCTCATTCACCTTTTGATGTTAGAGGGTAGCCTCATTGAGACTTTTTTTGATTCCCAAGCTGCCCATCAAATGCTCATCAATTACTGCGTATACCAGGGCCTTGTGCCTGTTTCAGGACCGTATAGTGCTTTTTTGAGCAAATACCACATTCATCTTTCTTGCTTTCTTTCACAAACAAACCCCCTCAGGTTGTTCCAACGTAGATCTCCTCCTCAAGAAGACCCATTTAAGGAAACGCTGACTTGACATCTAACTGGTACACTTTTCCAGCCCTTTGAAGCAAAAGCAATAGCCAACAAGCAACCTGATTGTTTCAATTCTGGCAACAGGAGCAAATCGATTGTTTCAATTCTGGCAACAGGAGCAAATGTGTCAGAAAAATCAACACCAGGGATTTGAGCATAACCTTTCACAACAAGCCTTGCTTTATGCTTGTTTATAGAGCCATCTCCATTCAGCTTTGTTTTGAATACCCACTTTACTCCAATCACCTTTCTGTCATCAGGTCTTTTAACCAGCTGCCATGTTTTATTTTTTTTAATCATACTCAACTCCTCCTCCATTGCAGCTACCCATTTTTTATCTCTTTTTGCCTCCTGAAAATTTTCTGGTTCCAGGACCACAATATTGCACTTTTGATAGATTTCAGAAAGTGATCTTGTGCCTCTGATAGGTTCATCATCAACCAAATCAGTTTCGGACAGCTCTAGCAACTTTAAATCTTGAATTGGAATTGTACCAGCCTGATCTCCTTTCCAATTCCATTTAGTATCTTCCATAAAATGCACATCTCTGCTTATTAGAATTTTTCTTGTATCAGGTTGAAAAACTCTATAAGCCTTTGAAACTGAACTGTATCCCACAAAGATTCCAGCTTCAGCTTTTCTATCGAGCTTGTCTCTTTTAATCTGAGGCACATAAGTGAAACACAAGCAACCAAACACTCTTAAATTTTTTAAAGAGGGTTTGTAACCATACCAAGCCTCAAAAGGTGTCTTCCCATCAACTGCCTTTGTAGGAAGTCGGTTCAGCAGAAACACAAAAGTGTTAGCAGCCTCTGCCCAGTATTCTTTATTTCTTTTGCAACTCCTTTTCATGCAAGCAAGCACCTGGCCATCTCCATCACGTACGTTTATTTACTGTTCGCTGACTCCATTTTTGCTGAGGAGTATATGGAGCAGTGAGTTGATGTTCCAATTCCAGCCTCTTCACAGAAAACTCACTGAGAAGTTGCAGACGTTTGTACTCCTTCCCATTATCAGAACCTTAACGTCTGAATTTTTGCAAGCCACTTGTGATTTTCAATCCAGTTATCTTGAATTTTCCAGAACACACCAAGCCACTTCTGATTTGAATCTGAAGAAAATATATCCAGCAAAATATATCCAGCACATTCTGCTATAATCATCAATAAAAAGCAGATAATACTTACTTCCATTAGGTGAAGGAGTTCTATGAGGACCAGCCACATCAGTATGAATCAACTGCAGCTTTTCTGATGCTCTCCAAGTAGCTTTCTTGAAAGGAAGCCTTGATTGCTTTCCATATTGGCAAGCCTTGCATTCTGGCATTTCAACTTCAAGATTAGGCAAACCTCGAACAAGTTCATTCTTTTGCATATTTGCCACTGCTCTATGATGAAAATGACCCAGCCTTTTATGCCACACTTTTGCATTCACTGTTGTTGCTGAGTAGACTGATTGCTTTGCTTGTAGAAAATCTAGTGCAAAACTCTTCCCTTTCATGCGCACTTTGAACATATCTTCATCTTTTGAGTTTGATTAAGCATATGATTGCTTCAAAAAACACTTTAAAACCATTTTTCAACGAGCTGACACTAAAGAGTAAATGTTAAGGTACATAATAACCACTTCTGAATAAAACTTTGTACCTTTGAAGTATTCTATCTCAATGTGCCTATCCCTTTCGCTACGATATTATTCTCCATTTACCAATCTTTACTTTGGAAATTGAAATACGTATCCAGTCCTTGAATAGATCCCCTTCCTGTCAAAGGTCATGTGGTTTGGTGCAAAGCACTGTTTCAATGAGCCATTCACTTGAATTGACTTGCTGCAAGGGACAAGTTAGCTACAAATAGTTGCCTCTCTTCATAATCAGCTACTTGAGCAAACATTTTTCTGCTGTCAAACAACCTTGCTTCTGCATATTTCTGATGATCCCATTTTCTGGCACTTCTCACATTTCACATTCAGGTCTCCTCCAACATTTTCGATGCCTTTTTGTTGCAGTGCTTACAAGGAGGAAAGTCAGACTTGATGAATTCTGAACCTTCTCCTTGTACTTTCCCTTCCCTCCTTGATTTGTTTGCACTTTGCAGCCAATGCTTCCTTCAACAGAGAACCACTCCTCCCTATTCGACTTCTTCATAAGCTTCTCTGTGTTTGCAAAGCATGTATCAATTCTGGCCAAGCCAATCTTTGACAGATCCTTAGTATTTTCCAAAGGAAGATAGGATGGTAGCTTTTCAAACTCTTCCGGGACAGTAAACAGAATTTTTTGAATATTCTCCAACCCAGAATCCAAATAATCGTACCTTGTTACTAAGAAAGATACTCTTTAATAGTTTCAGATTCCTCATTTTCTTGCATCTCAAAATTCTCTAACCAGATTCTCTAGCACTTTGCCATTCTTTTGATCTTCTTCATTTCCCTCATTACTCCTTCTTGAGATAGTTCCATATTCAAAAGGCTGTTTCAGGTTCATGATTTCTAGTTGAAAATAGAGGATGAAACTGCAGGCAAACAAAACAGCTTTTGGCTTGGACTTTCTTGGCCTCCATTTGAGCCACTAGGAGTGGAAGCACTTGGTAGTCTTCCTCAACAGCTCCCAAAGATCATTTGCATCCAGTAAGCCTTCCATTTTGATTTGCCATAACTTGATAATTTTCTCCAATTGAACACAGGGAGGATGCAATGGCAGTGAAGTGAGTTTTCTGCACTCAAGCCTCCATTTTGAATCAAATCCTCACAGTCCCTTTAAGAAGAGGGTCTCTTGATACCCAGTTTGTTGAACAAAAACTAAGAAATAACAGAGTAAAAAAAAAAGGAATATTGCAGTTGTTATGTTACAATAAAAACCACAGAAAAAAAATAATATAATCTTGACAAAATGTGCTAAATACAACAAAAAGGTATAATCAGAAATTCCTTATATTTCAGCCTCAAACATTCCTTATATTTCAGCTCAAAACATGGAACATGTCTCATGTTTTAAAACAACTCAGGCTAGAAAATCAAAAAAGGAAATAAATGACTGAAATGGCAACATGTCAAATCATAACAGAAAAACAAAAAATGCAAGCAACTGATCTTTTAGAAGTGCAGCAAGTAATGGTCAACTTCTTAACACAATATGAAGGGGTATGTATTTTCTGGCCCCTAGTTGAGTGTGTTTAGAAGATAACCACCATGTGATAACTTCTTATGAGCTATGGAACCTCAATAGCAAACACAACAGGCAAATGGTCCAAGCCAAACACTCATCTATATAATTTACCTGCTAGCTTATCACAAGCAACTTCAAAAACTGATTTACCAAAAAAAAAAAAAAAAAATCCAGTTACTTTTTGCTATTATTTTCTCCGAAGAAATATACAATGGGTATTCATTTCCTGGTGTTCTTGCTAAGAAACTTTTTTCACAAGCTTTCTGGTAAAATCATCCTCTTTTGATTGTTCCGAAAGGGCTTCGGTAGCAATTTATGTTGGAGAAGCGCAAAGGAAGAGATTTTCTGGTTCCCTTACATACTTTGAATCAATCCTTCATTTCAAGAATTTGCTTAGCATAGCTGAATAAGGGTTTGGTTTTTGATTCATTACAATGGGGTTGCTTTGACAATCCCCTGCAAAATAAGATTATTTTGATGCTGTCATTTCTAATTTTGAGTACTCATAAGATAATGGTTCTCAAAAATAACAATTTGTTAGATGCAAACACTGATTAATATCTAGTATATAGGCAACAGTAAAGGATTAAACATTTGTGTTAATTAGAAGAATTATTAGTTCTACAATTTCCCACTTTGCTTGACATATATTGATTTGGTCTTTATTTTTATAGTATGTTAATATAACTCTTTTATTAAGAATTTTTAGTGTTTTTAATTACTTTGAATTAGTTTTTGTTCTAGATTTATTTTTATTTTTTTTATTAAGTTTTCTTGATTTCTTGAAAGCTTGATTTGAAAGTTTTTTA